TCTCGTCGATCGGCCTGCCCGCCTTCGCCGCGTCCGCGGGGTGTCCTCGGAGCAATCGCCGCGGTCCTCCACGCCGCTGTAATATGCCGCTCCTGGGGCGGCTCGGACGGCCGCCTCCTGGTCGAGGCGCCGCTTCGCGAGCTCCTTGAAGGAGCCCCCCCTGCCGGGGGACATTTTGCAGTGGGCCCGCCGGGACTCGCGACCCCCACCCCCAGCTCCTTCATCAACTCTGCGTCGGGGGCCCTGCGTCGCGTAGAGGCGCCGCCGCCTGCTTGCGGAAGCGGAGCGGCCCCTCTGCGACGCAGCCACGGTCTGCCGAGGCCTGTCCGCCAGCCTTCGAGGATGCTCATGGACACCTCGTGGACCTCCTTCCTCGCGAGGTTGAAAGGCTCGCTCGGGTCGGCGCAGGCTGGGCGCCTCCGCGCCGCCAGCCCGGACGGGGCGCCTGCCGCGGCGTCCCAGGCGCCCGCGGCTTCCACGACCCCTTCGGCGAGCTCGGACCTCAGCTCGGCCCAGTTCGGGAACTTCCGAACGTTTGGATCCCGACGGCCAGGTGAAAACACACCCGCGCCGTCGCGACATCCTCTGTCCTCGACGCAGTCGCAGCGGTGGCCCTGCGCGCCCGAAGTGGCGCGGGGGCCTCGCGGTCGCGCGCCCCTCCCCCTTCCCGCCATGCTGCGATGGTGGCGCCCGCGTGGCGCGAGTCGCAGTGGCGCTTGCGGGCGGCGCAAGCGAGCTCCGAGAGCGGCTCGGGAAGGCCCAACCACGTCGGGGGCCAATTCGGGTGCCAATTCGAAGATCGCGCAGCCGGTCTTCGCGACGTAGCGCTCGACGGAGAACGCGCCGCCGGGAACGCGCCGTCGCCCCCGCCGCCCCCCCCGAGTAAACGACTCCGTTGCAGAGCGGGCCGCGCACAAGGGGTGGCCCGCATCGGCGCCCCTCGCCCTCGCCCTCGTCGCCCTATAGTTCTCGAGCGGTCTGGCAGGCGGCCCCAGGCGAGCCCCTCCCATCGCGCGATGGGAAGCAAGCCGTTCGGCCGCGTTGCCTATGGCCTGCGCCGACCACTCGGGCAGCTGCGGAGGCCAAGCCGCGGCGCCTGCCCTCCTCAACGAGGCGTGGCCCCGCCCGCGCTCAAATGGCTCAGGCTCCGCGGGCGGCGGCGGCAGCGGCCTGCGACGCGCGGCTCCCTCAATAGAGACGCGGGTCGGCGGTCAGTCCAGGAAACCGGCTGATGCGCGCGTCGGCTTTGGGCGCGGCGCGCCGAAGCTGCCCTGGCGGGGGGGTGCCGCGCGCGCGCTGCCGAGCGCAGAGCGTTTGTCTGCCGCGGGCAGCTGCCGCATGCCAGCGGGGCGCTGACCGCGGAGGTCGCCCGCCTGAACGGCGCCGAGGTTCCCGGGGTGCTCGCGGAGGCCAGCCGCTATGCTTGCTGCTCGCCAGCGGGGTCTTCAGCGCACGGAGGACGTAGTCTGCGAGTTGGTTGGATACCTGGAACGCCCGCGCCTTTCGACCCTCTTGCCAGGGGGGGGGCCCGAGACAATTACTCTCATCTCGACGGGCGTGGACCTCGGCGTCGACTAGAGGCTGCAGGGCGGCCGCAGAGGCTGAGGGGCCGCGAGCGCGCCCCGCTCGCCTGCTGCGAGCCTCCTGCAGCAGTCGCCCTGCAGCGCAGCGTCGGAGAGGTCGGCGACGTCGCTCCCGGCCAGGCCACCCCCTTCCGAGTGCGCGAGCATGCCGAGGCGGCACGCGAGAGCAGCGACGCCCGCCCGCCGCTCGTGCCCAGCGAGGGCGTTGAGCACTTCAAGCTACAGCTGCGCCCTGCGGCCCGCCCCCTGGATCCTGGGCGGCGCCTGGCCCCTGCCCGCCGTGTTCTTCGCGCACCCCTCGTCGGAGTCGCCCCCGGCTGCGGCGCGCGACGACGCGCCTCGCTCTCGGACCTCGCGCGCGGATGTCAGGATGATCTTCCGACGCGGGCCTCCGTCCCGACGGGTAGCGCGGCGCGCCCGCCCCCCGCCGGCGGCCTCCCCTGCGGGTCGCCCAATCGGCCCCCCTGCTGGCGCGCGCGCCCGGCCCCTGTCCCATGGGATCGCCTGGGGATCCGCTGCCGCCCGCCCCGAGGAAGCTGCCCGCTTCGCCCCGCAGAGGGCGCGGGCCCTGAGGCGACGGCGCGACCGTCGGGGCCGCTGGGCCTGGTTCCGCTGGCGGCGCCGGCGGGGGGGCGCCCCCCCTGGCCCCGCGCCGCCGCCGTCGCCGCCCTGGCGTCGGCGCCATTTGCCGCCCCTGCCCGGCGGCAACGGCAACGTCCGTTCGCCCTTGCGGCGCCCTGGATCGGCGGCGACGCCGCAGGGGGCCCCGAACGCACCTCGCCCCCCACGCAAGCCCCGCGGTCTGGCCCCTGCTCAACTCGCGCAGCGGGTGGCCTTTCGCGAAGCGAAGCAGAGCAAGCACATGTGAGGAAGCAGCACTTCTTCGGGTCGAACGTGGCCATCTTGGAGATGCACCTGAAGCAGATCTTCACGCCGCCGGACGTCTGCGAGGCAGGGCCCGCGCACCGTCCCTGCGCGCCTGCCTGGGCGGGCTGAGCTGCACTACCGCGGCCATTGCGGCCTCTGGGTCTGGTGGCCATTCGCGGCGGACTACCGCGCAGCTCTCCTCCACCGCCGGGTCGCCCATCACTGGGCGGAGCACCGCGTGGAAAAGCGCGCGGTGTGGCTGCGCCATCCGCCGGGCATTCTTGCGCGTCGGATGCCCGTGCTGCAGAGCCGGGGACCACGTCGGGTGCCGAGCCGCGTCGCTCCGTGCGTTTCTTGCCCGGTGGTTCCAGACTTGCGCCTCCGTCGCGCAGTCCAGGTGCGCCTGGCCCCGCCGTGGCCCCCCGCCTTGCAACTCCCGCCGGTTCGCGCGAAGCGCACATTGCAAAAATGATACCCTCCCGATATGTATAGATATGTGTGAAAGTAAATGCATGTGTGGTTGTATGTATGTATGTATGTATGTATGTATGTATGTATGTATGTATGTATGTATGTATGTCTGTCTGTTTATATATATACATATATATGTACACACACGTGCGCTTCCGTAGCGCCTTTGGGCCCTGTTGGACCAGATATTGATGGTTGCAGCACTCCTAAAATACGTCGCCCGTGACCTGGGCCCAACCAAGACCAATGGACCCGTGCTCTCGCCTCCTCAGCTGAATAGACCGCCGTGGGCGCCTCCACCCGAGTGTGGCCCCATTCGATCTCCGTCTGGCTGGCCACTAGGTTCTAGATCGGATCTCGCCGGCACCTGTGTCTCCTCGAGCTTTCAGCAGTGGCTTGACTCCTTGGCGTTCGTCCGTTCACTCTCTTCGGCGGCAACTCATGGGGGCCTCCCGTGTCATCTTGTCGGCTCATTCGAATCTACACTGAAAGATTTCAAAATGACGCGAATCGACGCTGAATCGGCGCTAGTCGACGCTAGCTGGCGCTCAATCGCCATCTCCTGCTGCAGCCCGATCCGAGTGAGTGCCGCACGCCGGGCGCGCGCCAGTGCAGCCACCTTCGCGCGCGGCTCGACCCCGGCCGCCGCGTGCAGCTCGAGCGCGTCACTGGCGAACTTCGTGGCGTCATCGCCCGAGTGCATCGGAGCGCGGGAATGCACCATGCTCGCCGCGCCGTGGGAGTGCAGCCGCGCCTGCACGTCAAGCGAGCCGCCTTCACTCGCGAAGAGGAAGTGCAGGTCCGAGTCGGGCAGAGCGCCTTGTCCTCCTCATCCTGCGCGAGTGCATTCGGCGGCGCGCTGTCGAGTCCCCTCTTCCAACCAGGTCGCGCAGGCGACGCTGCGGGTCGCCCAACACTGCACCTGAGACCGCGCGGCGGGTCTCAGTCCAAACCGTTTGAGCTCTAACGGTTGCGGACCGAACAATGATTCCCCAGGCTCGGCAGAGCGATGGCCACATTGTGCGCGTCCACGAACTGCCCGCATGCCATAGGATCCCCCCCATCGCGATGGCGCAATTCCCCGCCGGGGCCCACCGCGCCCTCGGCGGACGGTGGGGGGGGCGGGCGTCTTCAACGTGTGGGGGGGGTCCACCGGTCGACAAGGGGTTCGGGATTATCCCGTGAGAGCGCTGAAAAGGATTTCCCCTGGGCCTGGCTCTCCTCTGCCGAGTCTGGACTGTCTCTAATCATTGCTTGCGCGGGCGGGGCCCCCGGGCCGCGCTACGACCAGCGCCCCGCCAGCACACCCGCCGCGCCAGCACTCGAGCGCGGCCTGTGATGCCGTCCTTCATCCGCTTCGGGTCGGCCCATGCACGACCGCGCCGTCTCACGCGAGGGCGCCCCCATCTGCTCGAGCAGCGCGACCGGGCGGGGCTTCCACCGAACCCACTCCTGCGCCTCCAGTCCGCGACGGCTCTCCTATGCAGCCGCGCGGCACCTCCGAGCGAAGCGGGTCCCCGCAATCGCGCGGGCCCCCGGCGGCTGTGAGCTGTGGGGCCTCGGGCGCACCTCGCGTGGCAGCCACCTTGAGGCACGCTACGGCGTCCTCCAGCATGGCCCGATCAGGGCAGCAATGGAACACCCCCAACCGTTTCCTGCCACTGCCTAGTCCACGAACTCCTTCAGCGACCGCTGCGCCTCCTCAGCGCTGGAGTCCGCGGCTACCGCCACCTGCACGAGCGTTCCCTTGAACTCGGCCTCCTCCTCCTGCAGCGTCAGGCCCAAGCCGAGGAAATCGCACTTATGAAGCACCTTGCTGACACGCAGCCGAAAGGCGTCGAAGGCGCACGGCCCAAGGGCCAGCATCTGCGCCCAACCGTGCTTCAAAATAGGCCGGACGCCTGAGCCCAGATGGCCACAAGCATCGGGCAGAGTCGGAGGATACACATTCGTGTTGGCACACTGGGGTGAAGCTGGGTGACGCAACCGGCGTCGTGCAGTTCAGTTTGTTTCGAATGAGATGCCAGCTCTCATGCTAGCGAAAACCTGGACCCTCGAAGCTTCGGCTCGGCCGCTCACCGGGTCCGAGGCAGACTGATAGGCGTCCGCCAGCTCCGCCGGCTGCGGCTTCAGCGCGCAGACGTGCCTGTACCAGAAGGAGGCCGGGCAGTCCTCGAGGGGCACCTCCTGCGGCGGGTGAAGGACGAAAAGACACGGGTCTTAGGGGAAGCGAAGCAGCGAACGAGGAGAGGTGCTGGCGTTCCTGGGCGAGGATCTCGGCGAGCGCGAGGCGCCGCTTGCGCAGAAGGGCCCCCGCGTCGGAGCAGAAGCTGTTCGAGGTGTTCGAGCGTTTTCCGTCCGCTCTCTTCGATTCTCCAGGCTCGAGGCTCGCTCCAACGTGATGTTGCATCATCGGGGAACCCTGTCTGTCCCGTCGGCCCTATCCGCATCGAATCCATGTCGAATCCACGTCGGCCTCGTCCTATCCGTGTCGAATCCGCGTAGAATCCACGCCAAATCCGCGTTGAGACCGTGCCGAGCCCGCGTCGTGCTCAAGAGAAGACACCCATTAGGGGGACAGGCGAGGTCCCCCGAAGATGCAGCATAGACCGCGCCGAGCCCGCGTCGTGCTCAAGAGAAGACACCCATTAGGGGGACAGGCGAGGTCCCCCGAAGATGCAACATAACCCACGGCTGCACCTCGCAGAGGGCGGGTCGGGGATGCCCAGATCGTCCCGAGCGGCCGCTGGGAACCCGAGTCAGGTCTGTCGCCGTGGAAAACACGGCAAGGGTGCGTTGAACAATTTTCTGCCTCCGGGGGGCCTCAGAAGCGAGTCGAGATGGGAACCTGGTCCCTGGAGAAGGCGTCCAGATCTCTAACGGCCCACGTTGCGGAAAACAAGAACGACGTCGGAGTTTTCTGTGTGTTCGTATTCACTCCTGGGACCGACGCCAGGGTATGCCAGGAGGTAGTGGGTATCGATAACTTCGGGGACTGCGGGCGGGTGGGGGCAAAAATAAATGGTCGGACCTAGGACAGAAGAACACCCTTCAAGAACATGAGACCCTCCTCCGGCCAAACAGCCAACCCTCAAATGTCTAGAGGGTACCCTTCCCCAGGATGCACAGGAGCAACCGACCAACACGGAGAACATTAGGGCACCCTCCCCGAACGAACCTCGATCTGATCCTTCGGTCCGACCGTATATATATATATATATATATATATATATATATATATGTGTATCCACTGACTCCTGGGGCCCCGGGGCGGTTCCAGTACGGCGTGTACGATTTGTTGGGAGGCCTCGGAACCGGGGGGGGGTCGGTGCGGGCGTGGGCGGGACATGCGTCGAGCTGCCATGCGTCTGGGCTAGTGCGGGCGCCCTGTGTAGGGCGGGAAGGCGCGAAGAGGCTGCGACGGGGGGCAGCCTCCTTCGAAGAAGCCCTCCCCCCTCGCCCTGCAGTCGACCCGTACAATAAGGATGCAGCATGCACGATAAGGATGCCAGGGCCTTGGAAAGCCCCTTTCGAAGATTTTCGAGCGGGGCGCGGCCAACGAAAGTGGCCAAGGATGGGCCGAGGAGGCAAGGACGCCGCTGCAGGCGGCGGCCGCGCGCCCGCCCCGGGCGCGCTCGCGCCGGCCAGCACCGCGCACATGGCGAAACCGCGGCGAGAGGGCGCGAGGGGGGAGGGGGTCGACTGCGGCCAACTCCTAGAACAAGGACGCACGATAGGGATGCTTGGGCTTTGGAAGGCCACGCCGACACATGGCGAGCGGGTCGCGGACAGCGCGAGCGGCCAAGGGTGGGCCGAAGGGGAAGGACGCAGGGGTAACCTGCCTTGCTATGCGAGTTGACTGTATGGGGGTGCGGGGAAGGGGAACAAAGTGCACGCGGAGGTGCTGGTGGAGGTGTCGACGTGCTGACGCAGGTGCGCCCCGAACTCCAGCGTCATGAAAGGATGGCTTCGCACTGCGCACGAAGAGCGAAAAGGATACGACGAGCTCGGAATGTGAGGACAGAAGGCGTGGATGGGTGACCATCTACATTGTGAGCAGTTAGGCGCATTGGATGCGCGTGCGATGTTAGCCGCTGCAAGCCAACCTCAGGCAAAAGGGTGTTCGGTCGAGAGTTCGGAGCTGAAAGTCGGCCGAAACCAAACGTAGGAGAAGGAAATGCCCATGCCATGGTGGCGCCGGGACCTGGCGCGTGCTTGAAGGAGCTTTTCCTATCGATGGTCGCTTCCCGATGCGTGAGGCAGATCTCGGCGCTCTCGTGCTTGGAGGATCAGTGCCCACGGCGAAATCGCAACATCGATGGGAAACGTATGGTAGGTCAGCAGCGGAGGAGGGGACGGCGGCGGAACGGTGTTGGGCCGACGCCGAACGACACCGAACAAACCACATCGCGAAACCGAGACCTTCGACGTGTGCGACCTACCGTGCGCCACGGTGCAAGGTGAGCTTGGCCTCACCAGGCAGCGGAGAGCGAGAAGGAGGACGAGGAGGAGGATGAAGAGAAAAAGGAGGAGAAGGATAATGGAAGAAGAGGAGGAGGATACAATGATGTGCAGCATCAGGATTTCGAGCAAAATGTCGCAGGTCCAGACCTCGCGGCCTGGCGCGTGTCACACAGCCGCGAGAACGGGCGGGGTTCATGGGGAAAGGGGAAGAGGGGCGGATGGGGAGCAGGAGCGTGGGTGTGGCCAAGGCGCTCAGCAAAGAAGGAAGGGTGAGGGCGGGGAGGAGGAGGCGGAGGGAGAGAAGGAGGACGAGGAGGAGGACGAGGAGGAGGAGGAGGAGGCGGAGCGTGCACCAGGAGGAGGAGGAGGAGGACGAGGACCAAGACCAAGACCAAGAGACGCTGGGGACTGTTTCAGGGGAGTGGGAAAACAAAACTGGAGACCTTCAAACGGCCGGCAAGCGAGTCCCTGCGCAGGGCTACACCCTGTCTGAATCCAAACATTTCTGGGGGGGCCGCAGCTGGGGGGAAAACGCCCCCTCTGGCAGGAAATTGCAGGAAATTGCCCCTGCGGAGGTTGCCTGCGGCGCCAGCCATACTACCTGGAGCTTCGACGACGCGAAGTCAGGCTACCACGGGATCTCAAAGGGGGGCCCGAGCGCACCTCCTTGGGTGCCACGGCCCACCCCTCGCGACGATCCTCCGCGGCGGCCAGCACGCGATCCTCATCCCCCCCCCCTCGACCCCCGCCCGCTCCACACTAACAAAGCGGTCCGCGCCTGCAGCACGAACGTCACGGATTACTCCTCGCGCCACCAACTCCTGAAATCTGACGCTCCGAAGGAGGACAGGCGGGAGGGCAAGGCCCGGAGGGGCAGAGAGAGACAGGGGAGGAAGGAGGAGCAGGGCAGGGAACAGGCGGCCTCACCTCAAGCTGCCGACGTTCAGCCTCGGCGAGGTGCGTTCTCGATGCATACTGACGGCCCTCTCTTCAGGATCGTGATGCGAATGGCCATAAACATTCCGTTGCACAAAATCGGGGTGTACAGGCAGGCCAGATCGAGTAAAACCACTGTCATTCACATCTCTCTCCCTATCTGGCAAAACTCCCGTGGATGCCGAACCCGCCGAGGTCCGAATAAACTCACCGTCGTTCGCATCTCCCCTCCTTTTCTGGCAAAGCCCCCACTGATGCCGAACCCGCCGAGGCCAAGATACCGTCGACTTGCGCCTGTCGAGAATGGTGGCGATCTCGCGCTCCAGCGGTCCCCGAGGAGCGGTGCCTACGAGCTTCATCGCCTTGGCCTCCTGAAAGATCTGCTGGGTGATTCGCTTGAGCTGGACGCCCGCTACGTGGGTCTCTACTGCGCGGATCTGTGCCTTGACCATGCCCTTCATCTTGGCGCTGCGGTCGCCCCGCGGCTGCTGGGCGCTGAAGTGGGCGACGAACTCGCTCAGGTAGGACTGGTCCTTGCCTTTGGCGTGCTCCGCAAAGAAGGTGTTCATCGGGGCGACCGCGGGCCCGTCGCCCGCGGTGGCAGCCTTGACCGCCGCAGCCATTCCCATGAAGAAAACTGTCACAAAAGGTGCGCCCGACTGTCCGAGGTCCACGGTGTCGTCGGTCTTCTTCTTCTCCTTGAGCGTCGCCACCGACTGCGTGTAGAACTGGTTGGCCCCGATCCCCGCCTTCGCGAACCAGTGGGTGTCTGGGGCCAGGTACGTCTGCAGCACGTTGGCCTCCAGGGCTGCCTGTCCGCGGGCGCTGATGAGCGAGAGCCTCGCCACCGCCTCAAGCAGGTCCTTCTCCTTCTTGGGCCCGCGGGCCCGAGTCACGCCGCCTGCTTCGGCCTCGCCCCGACGAGGTCGCTGGGCAGGACCCTCGCCGCCGCCCTCTCCAGGGCGCCTGGCCCCGCCCGCCGCGAACGCCCACGGTGGGCGACCGCCCTCTGCGAACAGCTCATCGACGCAATCCATGTCGGATGGCCTGGGCTCGCGGCTCGAAGGGGAGGTGCGACTTCGCGCGCCGCGAATACTCCGTGAGAGGCGGCCAGATTGAGCCACAAAGGCCACGCCGAAAGGACGAGGGCTGGATCAGGGGCCTCAGGGTGGTCGCCTTCTCCGCCAGGCATCTCCCGTTCAGCAACGCCCCATGTAGATGGCTTTTGCGCACTCTTGCGATCCCAAAACACCCCAGAGCAGGACGCGCACTGGTTCGTGATCGTGAGGGCCTGGGACCGTTTTAGCACGCGGTGAACCTGACGGAGATGATCGACGAGGCCAGACCTGCTCGATAATGTGGCCCCACAAGGTCCCGCGAGCGTCATCCAAGGGCAGACGTGGTCCTGGGACAGGCACAGGGCTCCCTCTTCGAGGGCTTTCGAGTCTACAAGAGCCAGGCCAGGAGGAGGAACTTCGACATCAAACTGTTTGCTCCGATGAATGCCCACGTCGACCTTGATAAAGTCCTGGGCGACCTCGAAGCCGAACAGCCCCGAAATAGAGTTGCCCCCTCTGGCCCAACAAGAGGCCGCTTCATCACACCAAGTAGTAAGCTAGATAACATCAGCCTGGAACTGCAAGGCCCACGGGTTAGCCTCAGCGTTGACCGACCCGGAAGCCTCAAAGACGCCCTGGGGCTCGAAGGAGGTGGACCCGAACGCGGCGGCCAGCATCTGTTTGTGGCAGCCTGGATGTTTAATGCGCGCCTGGAGCCATCTGAGTCGACGAACTTGGAGCTCGTGAGCAATCGGGGCCAGCCTCCACCACCTCAAAACATCCTCCGTCGAAAGCGACCTCCTCCGCCCGTCTTCCCCCCAGCTAGCTTCCCCCATCATGGCCTTGCGTGCAAGTCCCGACACCGCGAGCTCAAGGGTTCGACTCTGGGCCGGAGTGAGGATGAACGCCTCGACGCCCGACAGCGCCGTGTTCACAACGTGACAGAGGAGAACGCAGCGCTTCCACCGATGCAAGACACCCTTCTGGAACCAGAACTGACCCATCCGAAAGTAAGCTGCCTTCATCGCTCGAATACGTTTGACCAACTCAGCGCTGAAGGTCTGGGCCGGCGCGAGGCGCGGGCCGAGGTAACGCACCTCGTCGGACACACGTGTCTCCAGGCCCCTCAGAAGGGCAGCTGCGCCTCGCCGAGAGCTCGTCAGTACATGAAGGAGTGCTTCCTGCTTGCTTCTATTTCTCCGCATCCCGACACTCTCCAGCTCGACGTCCAAGAGGGCGTCTTTCTAGATCATCTGGTCCTGGAATCTCTGGAGGTTGAAGGGGGGGCCGACGATGAGTTTCTTCAGGAGGTCATCCGCGAACTTCTGGAGCCCCAGATAGACCTGCGGAGAGCCTGCGAGAATTTCCTCAGGAAGGGTGGCCAACAGGAGGAGTCTCTCGCCCTCAGGGCCCTGCTCAGCGCATGTCTGGATACACCGATCAATAGGGGGCTTGAACACCCTCACGAAGGATCTCACGGCGAAGGGGTCGCCCTGCAGCGCGCCGCAGCCTGGAGCGATAAAAAGCGGGCCCTCAGCGGACGGCAAGACACATCCAGGGCACCGAAACCTCTGCCTACACAGCGAGCGGTTCTGGATCTGCGTCAGTGCGGAGCACGCCTCGTCCAAAGACGACCAGTGAGACGACGCAAAAGCATTCGTGAGATCCTTTAACGAGTCGCACCAGGAGAAACCAGCCGCCGAAAGCATCCGGGAAATACACATGCTGCTCAAAACCGCATCCTCCCTCCGCCTGAACTTCAAGAACCCGTGGTCACAGTCCGACTCCTGAAACTTAGGCCCCAATGTCATAATGCCCCTAGTAAAACCCCTTGCCGAGAGGATCCAGTCCGTGAGCGACCCTTTTCCCCTTCGGTCCAGGAAGAGCAGACTTCGGGATCGCAAAGCCCCTACTACAATGCCACAGGGAAGGTGCTGTATTCCAAAATAGAATCATCATGAAGGCTTTGTGCAACCATTATTGAACGTATGAGCCCTCAGTAACATGTGCATCACTGCCCAAGTCAGCCCGACTCTCCTCAGCAGGCCGTGCATCACGAGGTAGGTTGACCGCCATGTGCCAGAGCTCCAGGGGCAGCGACCACGGCGGGACACTCCGACGCGTCGGTGCTCTGGCCACGTATCGACTCAAAGTTTCCATGCCAATCAGAGCCCGCGCATGTGCCTGTTGTAGATGGTCCGCCAGGTCCTGCTGGGGAGGTGGAGGTCGAGCCCAAACTTCACGACGTAAGCATATATCCTGCCAGGCCACCCGTCTTGCCGCCATACTTCCTTCACATCCTGGACGGGCGAGAAACTCAAGCCATTCGTCCGAGCTTGGAAGCGCGCCGCCGAGCCTGGTGTAGTCTCTTTTGCCCTTGCCGTAGCGGTGCCCCGCGAGACGAAGGGAAAGCCGATGCGCCGCTGCGAAATCTCTAGCTCTTCAGGAAGTCCAGATCTCTTCCACAAGTTGCTCCTGGCGCCGTTTCTTCTCGGCCCGAGCGAGCTGTTTGCATTGCTTGGTAATCAAAGTCAACTGTTCACAACACTGCTTGAAATCATCATCTGCTTGGTTCGCACGCTGCGAAAACGCACTGCCTGGGCATGGGATGGAGCGAGAGAGACCCATGGAGGCGCGAAGCTCGCGCCGATGGGTCAGAAGCGAAAGCCGAGCAGACGTTAGAACCGACCGTTGAGAGTGCTGAGGAGGCCCCCGCTGGAATACCTGGCCAGCCCCCCCCCCCCCGAAGCACTTTATCCAAAACATGTAATACTTGATGGGGTGATGATGTGGCGTCTTCAACCTCTGGCCACGGTTCTTCTGGTCGACTTTCAACTCTGCGCAGAAGCTGCCCCCGCTCCGGCCCACCTCCGGCACCCTTCATAAGTCGATCTCGGCCCCACTTTACATCAAGATAGTGATGACCATTGGGACAAGATGGAGGTCGAACCTGATGGACCAAAGCAACGTTGGGTACCCTGATCTGGACAAGTACTGGGGCGTGGTCACGGGGTTTTCTGGCTTCGATAACTTGCAATGGTCTGCCAAGCCGATGCATGGGGGGCGCGCACTTCACACGCTCGGAGAACATTAACGGGATGCCGATGTGGTCGATCGTCGAGTGGCCCCCCGCAGAGCCGTAGACGGTGGGGGAATAGGAACGGCAGGTGGTAGGCGAGAACATCCCGAAATCTTCCAAGAGGCCTCTGAAGGAATCGCCTGCCCCTCGGCGATGCACTTCACGACCTCGAACTCTTCCAACTGCCGCCGTCTCAACATCTTGCCGGACCCCCCCCTGCCTCGACGTGCCGACCCCGTCGTTGACATCACTCATGATGATCGAGAGGGCTCTGGCGGGGAGACCTCTGAGACGATCCCGAGCCCCGGAACTAGGTTGATCAGAGCAGGCCAAGTAGTTTTTGACCGTGCATGCTTTTCCAGGCTTGGGGGGGGGGGGGGGGGGGGGGGTAGTACAGCACCAGGATATAGTACAGGAGCCCCCCCTTCGCGATCTCGACTCCTAGAGACCCTGAAGAGCACCCCAGGAGCGCCCGCTCGCCGCGCGCACTGAGACGGACACCGCGGGGGGGGGGGGGGGGGGGGAGACAGCACGGCCCGCGGCCCGATTCGAGAACCCTCCTGCCCGCCATCCTGCATGCACCACCGGCCTCTCCTGCGCCTTCTGGATCCTGTAGCGCTCATTGCCGATCTCTCGGAGCTGGGTTCCTGCCCGGCCGACCACTTCGAAGGGCGAGAATTCTGCAGCCAAGTCCACAATTCTGCCACCACGTGCATGGAGTGGGTTGCGAAGTAAAAAAGAGAAGAGGCGCGTCGTCATCTGCGGCCAGCCGAAGGCCCCAGATGATGCATGGAACAACAGACCATAAGAAGTAATGTTCTGACCTGTTGCGCCGCGCGACCCTGCAAGCCGCGGCGGCGGCTGGAGGGGGGGGGGGGGGGGGGAGGAGGAGGAGGAGGAGGGGGGGGGGCGGGGGATGAGGAGGAGGAGAAGGAGGAGGAGGAGAAGGAGAGAAGAGGAGGGAGGAGATGGCAGGGAGGACGGAGGAGGAGGAGGAGGAGGAGGGCGAGGAGGAGAAGGAAGAGGAGGAGGAGGAGGAGGAGGAGGAGGAGGACGACGAGGTGGAGGAGGAGGAGGAGGAGGAGGAGGAGGGGGAGGGAAGGGAGGAGGAGGGCACGAAGCCCCGCGAGCAGGCGCGCGCACTTGGACTCCAGGCCTGTCGACGATGCAGTGCTGCGATGCAAGCGGCCGCGATCGCAGCGTCATGGATAGGCAGACCGCTGTCGATCCGCTCCTTTACGATCTGAAATAGTTGCGTGGCCAACGCCACCGCATGCAGGCAGGTCTTGCGGGCGCGCGCGCGATGCTCGCGCGGGTGGCCGAGCCCTAGGAAGACAATTCCATCCTTCAACTCACTCGGCTCCGCAGGGGCTGCGACCGCGCTGCGGAGCTTCTCACAATTCATGTAGCGCGCCAGGTCGCCCTTGGCGTCGCAACCGAAGATGCACGGCCGCGGGGCGACGACGTGCATCCTGCCTGAGGTGATCCAACCGTCAGCCGCCGTGCGGAGCCACGACCACAGCCATGAAGGGCGCACAGCACGCAGAGCAGCTCGGAGCTCCAGCCATCGGCCGCGCAGCTCCTCGGGGGAGATCTCGGCGCCCCAGCGCCGCAAACGTCGGCCGATGAGGAGGTCGGGGCGGCCGTCGTAAGAGGCCGCCCCTCAGGGCGCTCATGGCCGCGGCCTGGCGCTTGACCTTCCTGGTTGGGACGGCAGCGGCGGCGGCCAGCTCCTCGTCGGCCATCGCTCGGCGGGCCGCCTCGACGAGGGCAGGCGGGGCAGGGGCGGGCAGCTCGTCAAGCTCGGGGCGCGGGCGCGGGAGGGTGCGGAACATGCCCATCACGAGGCCGTAGTACTGGGCGATGGCGCGCTTGGAGGCCCACCAGGGCGGTGACCACGCGCCCCGTAGCACACGAACCAGCGGGAGGTCCCCGGCCGCCGTCTCGTGCAACGAGCGCAGCACAGGGGCCCAGCCGCGCGCTGCGCGGGCCGCCGCACGGAGGATGGTGGCGACAGACTACGGGAACACGCCCACAGGCGCGGGAGAGCTGCACCACGCGCCCATGGCGAGGATGTCCGCCTTGCGCATGGACGAGGGCGGGAAACGCAAGAGGCGGTGGAGCATCGTGAACTCGACCCGCCAGATCTCGGGGATGAGGAAGAAGAGCTGGGCCAGGTAGGAGAGGCACGGGAGCACGTTCACGTTGCGTGCGCGGGCGGCAAGGCTGGTCGCCATGCCTGCGCGGCTCAGCTCCGCAGCCCGAGACCACCACTTCGCCGCGGCATCCTTCCAGATGCCCTGCTCCGAGATGCCTGGTCCGATGCCCGTGCCCAAATACTTGGCGGAGGAATCGACGCGGAAGCCCCTCCAACTCGGGACCAGCTCGGCCAAGAACTCTTCGGTGTCTTTGATCAGGCTGGGCGAGACCTCGGCCCAGAGCGGGACCAGCACACACTTGTGGATCGCCAGCTGCAGATTGAATGCGAACTCGATGTCATTGAAGGAGTCGGCGATGGACGTGGGGATCTTGGCGTTGCGGATGAGCAAGCCCAGGTCGTCTGCGCACGCTGTGAGGCAACCTTCAGGGAGGGGTCTCCCAGCGCCTTGATCAGCGCGCGGATCGGAGCATCCATACCCAAGCACCAGACCGTGCCAAATAGGGGGCACCCCTGCATGGTGCCGCACCTCAGGGCAAAGAGCGGCTCCATCGCCGCGCTGGGTCCCGAGGCTCGGAATGAGCTGAAGGCAAGGCAGTTGCAGCGCAGCGCCGAGACCGCGCTGCAGAAGCCCCGCAGGACGCCGCACCGCGGCAACGCTATGTCAGTCACATCGCGGAAGAGGGACGGGAAGGCCTGGCGGAAGTCGTAGGAGAGCAGCATCGGGCGCCGCTGAGCGGCACCAGGGAGGAGAGCCTCGCGACGGCACTCCGCGTCCAGCAACGGGATGTGGTCCACGAAACGGCGCCCAGCGGTGAAGCCTTTCTGCGCCCCGTCCGTCGCAACAGAGGCAATGGACTGCAGAGCGCGATCCGCGCAGGAGGCAATGAGCTTGGCATCCGCGTTCTTGAGGGAGAGCGTGCGGACGGAGGAGGCCGTTCGAGTACACGAGTCGGGGGTGTCCTCGTCCTCAGCCCCCTTCAGTGCACAGGGGAAGATCGACCAGTTGGGGTCACGCGGCCCCATGCCCTCATTGAAGAGCTGCTCCGTCAAAGCATGAAGATGCGATAGTGCGTCAGAGCTGCTTCGCCACGCTGCGTAGGGTAGCTGGTCAGGCTCAGGGTCGCTGGGCGGGGCCCTCGCAGCATCGCGCTCCAGCGCGCGCAGCGACGGCTGAGGTAGCTCCACCACAGGAAGCTGTGGGGCGCGACGATCAAGGAACTTGTTGAGCCGCAACTTCTGCTCCACAGTCGGCGCGCGCTCGAAAATCTTGCCCCAGTACTCAGCCACAACGCCCGTCATGCCCGCAGAGTCGCCGACCACCTTGGGGGGCACGTCCGCGGCGTTGCTGGAGGCGCAGGGAGCAGAGTCAAGCCGTGGACCAGCGAGAACAATTCTGCGCCGCCAGGGGATCCATAGCTGTGCGTGTCGGGCCGACCTGCGCTCCACCCGGCGCCAGGCGGGGCCGTCGCGGTCGTTGGACCTCCGCGCAGCAGCCGCAGCCGCCTGCCCGCGCAGGGCGCGCACCTTCGCCGCGACCGCGTCGAAGGTCTCGCCGAAGGCTCTGGAGTCCACCACGCGAAACGAGCCTTGGTCAACCATCGGGTGGGCGGAGAGGGCGGGACACGAGGCCAGTAGGCGGGCCGCGAGCGGCGCGTCCTGGCGCCAGAGGGCCCGCGCCGCAGACTTGAAGCCTACGTGCGTGGTCTCGGCATTGCCGTCCTTGACCTCGAAGGGGAAGTTGGCGCGAAGCATCTCGTCTCGGACCCGACGGGCTGCCGCTTTCATGCGAGTCTTGGTGGCGCGCCAGCGGTCCTCGACCGTCGCCGCCTCCAAATCGCAGTTCGCCATCATGAGCGAGAACATCTCGGGGTACTTCGGGTGAAAAAAGGCTCGACGGGATCGCCTACTCCTCGCGCGGGACGCGACTGGCCATCTCCATCTGCAGGACGAGGGGCGCATGGTCACTGAGGCCGAGCTCCGACAGCTCCATCGCGTCGCAGGCGGTCGTGAGGCGCGTGGACATGGAGAGCATCGCGTGCGCGTCGATCCCCAGGAAGATGCGATCAATCACCGAGAGCTGCTGGCTGGCCTTGTCGAAGTGGGCGGGCCACTGCGCCTCGATCTCCAGTGCCGCGCCAAAGAGACGACGCCAATAAGGCAGCCGAAGTTGGCGTCGTTGATCAGGGCGCAGCCGCCAGGTCTCCTCTGCCACAGGAGACCTTTGAGAGACCGCAGGGCGGTCCGCGATGTTGAAGTCACCCGCGCCGGCGAAGATGCGCCCAAGGTGGTCGTCGGCGGCCCAGGCGAGGGCATCCGTCCAGGCCACCTCCACCGCAGCGAAGTCACCAGACGAGAGGTCGCAGTTGTGCACGCTCATGAGCTCGATGCTGTACTCCGTCGAGGGGTCGACGACGCTGAGGAGGGTGGCCCTGCCAGGGACAACGACGTCGAAGAAGAAGGTGGGGCCCACGCCGGGCGAAGCTGCCACGGACGCCTGCGGGGCCAAGAAGGCGACGTCTCCGACTCCAGGAGAGGGGCCCGCCGCCAGAAACGAGAGGTCGCGCTGCGGTTGCAGCTGGCAAAATATGCCCAGCGCGTCCTCCGAGCCGGGAACTTCTCGGACGAGAATCATGGCGCCCGCCCGCATGTGTGAGCTCAAGAGCGCGAGCTTGCGACGCCGAAGCCGCGGGTTCGAGTGGAGCAGGCCCCTGGCGTTCCACGCCACCAAATGCAGCCCGCGGCAGCAACCATCTGAAAACGGCGAGCGCCACGGTGCCCAGCGCGAAATGCTAAAGCCACTCTGTGCGGTCCTCAAGCGAGAAGGCCTTCTTGAACTGCTCGGCGATCGCGTCCCTGTCGATGGCCAGCCGCGAGACCATGCCCATGTTCCAGCGGATGGTGGTGTCGGCCCCCCTGCGGCCGCCCATCTCGAGCTTGGCCAACTTGGCGCCCTGGGAGGTGATGACGCCGCGCGCCCGCTGGCCGCTGAATGCGCGACCAGGGACCGCCTCGCTGAGGATGTTGGCGAGACGCCGCGTTTGAATTTCCATTCGCACTTGTCAAGGAGACTTGTCAGGAGAAACGTAGAGCGGAACGGCCCCACCGCCGACCGCCTGGCACTGAAAAGAGCGCCATCCATTGGGAGCAGCAGGGTTACGCAGATGACGGGCCAGCGCTTGAGCACGAGGGATAGCGATGCCCAGCCCGCCCTCCACGACAATGTTGAAGCGCTTGCTGGGGACGTTGGAATCGAGGCGGGCCATGCTGTTGTCGAGGCCAGCGGCTGAGTGCCAGGCGGAGATGCCAGCGCGCTCTTGCGCAGGGCCGACAAATTCAGGAGCGCCCGCAGAGAAGATCCTCGCGTCGGGGAGCCTGGGTCACGCCTCGAGCGCCTGGAAGTCAATGATCGGGACCTCCTTCTCTGCCATGGCGAGCGTCTTCTCTCGTTGTCGTCGATCTGGGCGCGCATCCGCCGCTGCTCTTCGGCTAGGGCATCCGCTCTCCCACCGACTTTGGCAACGTCTCGCGCGTGGACCGCGAGCGACTTGGCGACGTGCTCCTGCTGGGCCTGGAACATTCCCACCAGCTGCTGCTGACAGGAGGCGAGCTGGACACGCGACGTCTCCGCCAGCGCCACGGTGGCCTGCTGCATGCAACTGCCCAGCAATGCCTGGAAGTCACCCGGGATCCCCGTCGGGGTGGGCAGCCTCCTACAGGTGTGCCAGGTAGCGATGTGCGAATAGGCCATGGCCCACCTCCAAGTACTTGACAAGGACCAGGTTCATCGGCAGGTCGGGGCGAAGCAGCGTGAGGTCGATCAGGGGCTGCGGGGGCGGCAGCAGCCTGGGGCTCCTGCAGCACGCCGCGCACGGAGCCGTTGTCGTGCTGACGGGCCAGGGCATCGTGCTCGGGCGGCGGGACCGCGATGACCGTCGCCAGCGCGCCCAGAGCCACGACCAGGGCCGTCCTCCGCTGCCATGCCAACACACTGTTGCCCTGAAGGCAGGAGTCGGCCGCTAGGTGGGAACGACCGTGAACGGGAAATATGGAGGGGTGCCAGCTCACCCGTGGTTGTCGCTGGAAAGCTTGGACTGGCCGCGGACGAACGGCATCCATGCCCTGCTCACGCAAAGCAGACATCTCAAGCCAAAATGGCGACGGAGAGAAGGGAGGAGGAGGGGGCGGAGGAGGAGGAGGAGGAGCAGGAACAGGAACAGGCTATCCCACGTAGTGGTTCGGGAATGAATGGCCACGAGTGAGCTTCTCAGCAACGCTGAGAGCTTTCGGCCATAACCCATCTTCGATGATGCGAGAAAAGTATTCTCGTCGATGGGCTTCAAGCTTATGGGAAAATGGTTTCGACAGCTCACGCATAGTAGCATGAGCATAGAAACCACAAGCTTGGCAAAACCAAAGATGGTGGGCCCTCTGGAGCCTCATGGAGTGCGTCTCGTGAGCCCACCCCCCCGCAATGTGGAGCCGCCCCCCCCCCCCCCCTGGGGAAGGGCATTATACTTATCATTAACGAGGGCCGGGGTGAAACGCGGGGACTCATGCCACTCCTTCATAGTGGCCCAGTTGGCAGATCCGAAACAACACTGGCACCTTTTCCTGGACTCGTCGAGCTGGTGGCCAGACGAGAAAGCAGCGATGGAGGCAGGGGCGGGAGGGCGAGTGGGGGGGCGAGAGGGCCCCGCTCTCCTGCCACCACCACCCCGCTCCTCGGCCTGCATGGCGCCCCGGGACGCACGAAGCAGGCGATGCCGCACCTGCCAGGCTCTCTTCTCCACGATCATGACCTGGTGCCTTGCAGCCTCTGGAATCTGGGCGCGGGTCGCTGCCTCTCCCGCGAGCACATCCGCAACACCATTACCTGCAACAAGAGCGGTGGGGATGGAGCGATCGACGACATCAGAACTCGATACATGAGAATTGGTGAAAATCATGGCAATCTCTCCAACCCTCTGCGCCAGAAACTTAGAAACTTTCAACCACAAATCGGCGTCGGCACCACATGGCACCTCACATTATCCTCCATAAAAATCCTCGGGTCACCGACTCGTTGTCGTTCACATAACAGATATGGCCGACTGTCGTGCGCAAAGCTAACTCGAAAGCCAACAATTCACCGCGAGGCACTGATTGGCGGCAGCCTGGTAGCCGCCCAAAAGCAGACGACGAATAGAGAGTGGAAACAAAAAAACATCGAACGTGACGATGGCAACACCGACGCGACGAAACCTGCTTTCGCCCGAGGTTTTCCCACCAGACGCGTCGCCGAAGACCAGGAGCGGGTTCCCAGGCTCCTCACGTCCCATGCATACAGCACTCAAGCCATTGCATCCAGAAGTCCACCAGTACTCGGTGTCGGGAGGAGGAGGAAGTGCAGTGGCAGACGCTGGAATAAGGCCACGCAGCCAGAAAGAAGGTGAAGTCTCTGCTTGAGTCAACGCTTCTGCCACAAGATCCTGAGATTGCTCGCGTGCCGCAGCGCCGATACTATCTTCGCAACCCCAGGCACGATGAGACGCCGTTTCAGATACTTCTGGCACCGTGGGCAGAGGTAGTCATAACTGGCGTCCAGCTCAGAATTAATTCGAGCCCTGGGCCACATACCTCCAACGGCAATCGACACCATAAGTTCACTCAAGCGCTCTCCTTGCGAAACCAGCTTAAGCTGGGAACTAGGCCCGCGATAAGACGCGTTGTCCACGTCATTCTGAACTCCATCGCCACGCAAATGCTCAGCCGCGCGATGCCACAACCTAGACTGAATAGATGACATAACGTCTCGAAAAACAAGCTCAGGGGAATCTACAAATATATTACCCAGGAGTCCTTCTCCGGGAAACTTCCAAGCCTCCAAATCTCAAGGAAAATCAGAAGGGGCCTTCCAATGATCGGGCTCCAGGGGTTCCCATCCAGCCTCAAGTAAGTACAGCATTATGGCCCCCATGGGTCCCCTAACGTGGCGCGACCGATGCTGAGGAGCGGCCTCCTGAAGCTTGCGCAACAGAACAGGCCAGGCCCTGCGGACTCCTGAACGAATGGAGGGTAGCATGATCCATTGCCTCATCCAGCATTCAAAACACAGCCGAGGAAAATACACAGCAGGGTCACCCATGGGAGCCCTTCAATCCAGGAGGGTCGTGAGGCAACGCCCCCTTTTCCCAGATCCACAAACAGCCCCCATTTGACGACGGCAACGAATCATAGCTGACCCAAATGCACCATGAATCTGATGTGCGTACAGCTGCGCTGCAAGAGCGCCAGCTCTCTCGAGCTTGACTGTAGCAGCATACTTGCGAGCAGCTCGGGCAAAACGTAGTACTCTGGAATGCATAGCCACGCCTCTGACCACTCGTTTAGTCCGATTGCCCCGGGCACGCCTCCTGCCTCCTCCCAAATCCGTCCCCAAATAGCCTGCCTGCGGTACTGCCGAAACTGTAAATCCTGATTGAGACAGTCGACTGGCAATGAACTTAGCATCAGGAATATGCGAACAGATGATCACCGACTTTGGCGACACACGCAGCTGGACGCTTTGTGGGCCGAGACAAGTGGCCAAGAGGCCTTTCAACAACTGCTTGCGAATGCTCGCCCTGGACCCGACAACTCTTTGCGACAGATCGTCGATCCAGATCCTGGTGGGCGTGTTTTCGCGTGCACTCGCAATGCGATGAATAGCAACAAACACCAAACACCTGGCAAATCTGGTCCCAGAACGGAGTCCTTGGATGATGGGCCGTGACGGGCAAACCGCTTCTGCATATGACCCACTCTGCCCCAGACAGAGTACGAGGCGATACACATAAAAGTAACTCTAA